ATCCAATCGGCTTTAATTATTATCCCAATACCTTGACAATAGTAAATACCAGGTTGAAATAGTAAAAATATTTTGAAAAGTTGAGCTGTCACTAATTGCCGGTTCGGGTCCGGGTTTGATCTTACACTTGGACCCGAACCGAAATTTCTTTTTTAACCCGACGCCCGAACCGACCCGAAAAATTTTACCCGAACCCATGGTCCGGCTCGGTTCGGTTTCGGGTACCCAACCGGGTTGCAGTACTCTAGTTTCATGTGCAGTTTTATTCAAAAGCTTGCAGAGATAAGAATTCTTTATAATTTTATTTATTATTTGTTTTTATCAATCATCTGTAAGCAAACTCTGCGAGACGGTCCAGACATTGAAGGAATGTATAGAGAAATATTTCACAGAGGTGATGAAGAATTTAAAAAGAAAAGCTTTTCTCATCTTACTGAAGAATAATGAGCTTTTTTTAATTATTGGAAGAATGTGCATTCCATACTTTCGCAGGATAGATTTTATGATATCATTAACTTGAAGAAATCTTTGAAAAAACGAATATACGTGTAAAGATATTATACGATTTAGATCGGTATTTATTGTTACTGAGTTTTGTAAAGCCTTTTTTTCGAAATTTCAGCATCTGAAAAATCGAATTTTCTAGATAAATATTAACAAAAAGCTACTGCGAAATAAAGAGCATCCTTTGCACGAACGGTATGAATTAATAGAAGCGATTTATTTGAATTAATGACAAGATGTTCGTAATTTGTCAAAATGGCTCTGAAATTCTATTTCTTTTTTAATCATTGAAAATATGCGAGAACAATATTTCTTAATTCCATCTCTGATAGAAATAATTTAAAGATAGAATTATGCGACAGAAATTCAAGTTATTAAGAAAGATTGAATTCTAAATTTGTTCATCTGAATCTAGAATTTTAGCCTAGATATAACAGACAATTCTATCGTCTTTCGTGGAACATTAATAATTTTTGACACTTTAATATCTCTCGAAGGAAATATTTGTTCGAGATAAAATTTATAGGGCATTCTACTGACAAATAGATCTATCTGTGGGCAAAATGTGAAATAGAAATACTATCATTCAATTAGTTGGTATATACCATGTCAAACGCTAAAATCCTAGTAAAATGTCTAATGGAATTTTCTCATATTTCACTGGAGTCTATCTTTGTATGAAAATTAATTAGATAATATTGAGTTCGATCTGAAGTTCCAGTGATTTGTCGAAGCGAGTCAAATATTCGACTTCTCGATGTTGTTCTAAGCGAAATTTTGACACAATTTATATAAAATATTCATTTTTTTGTTTGTTTTTATTTTAGCTTATGTTTATAAATTTCTCTATAGTGAAGTATTTAATCAACCAAAAGTAGTCGAGCAAGCGAAAGCAATGTTAAGAAAATCTGATACACTTTATTATGGTGTTAAAGGAGCTAGCATGCAAAAGTAAAACATCAAAATATTCTATTTTGAATTAATTATAAAGTGAAAATTTTAGACAATCAGATCGACCAGAAAAGAAAACAAATCATGAATTAATTCCTGTACCATATCGTACAGCTAAAGCATTTGAACCAGCTATTTATCGAAATGTTGCTTATGATGTTTATATGAATGATCATTTTAAAAAATATTTTGATAGAAATATTATTAAACAACATCAACATATTCCATTTATGACACATAATAGATTAATCGAACGATTTGGTAAAAAGAAAATAAATTATTTTACATTTAATAATAAATTATTTTTAATTTCTAGGCGTTAAAATGCATTTGCCTGTTTCATATATAAATCCACCAGATTGTCGACGAGTCATTGTTACATTATCTAATTCTGAGGAATTATTTGCTTATTATGTTGGTGAAGATGCTGATACAAATATGCATAATGTTTATCTTGTTAAATTTGGTTCAATGTTAGAGCTTTTTTTTTTTTTTATTCATTTGAATTCATAGAAAATCTTTATCTTTTATTTTCATAGGACTAAAACAACTGGTGAGAAAATGTTTGATTTTCCAGCTTCACTTGGTCGTCGTCCAGTAACATTTGCACAATTGAAACGTCATACAAATATGTATCGAAAATTGAAACCATGTTGTAAGTAATTCTTTGTCTATAGAAGGAAAAATATTATTAATGTTTTATATAGTGGATGCAAGTTTACAATTTTTTGAAGAACGTTCATCACGACGACAACGACAACAAGTTATAGATTATGGAAATAATCAATCAGTTCAATTGTAAGATATGCTCTGTAAACGAAAGCAGATTAAATTTCATTAAATCTAATGAATATGAAGAACTCTGTCGGATTGAAACATTCTAGAGTAGATCTTTTGCATTGTCCGCAGTTCTAGGATAGTGGATTTCTATAAGAATTCATAAACAGAAATGTTCCTACTTCATCAAAATTTCGTGGGAAGGATAGTGGTGTTAGTGGCAAAATCAAGAATAGGTTAGGCTAAGCACCGCCCTATCACCAGAAGATAGAAAAAGCATATTAATTACTATCATTGATATCATATTGTTTGGATTGTCGTGAGATAGTAGTGCACTAATTTATCATCTACGATCTCCTAGTTACACCATTAGATGATGTCAATTGGAAATGTTTTGCTAAAGTTGACCAAATTTTAGGGTTTTAAGATTCGTAGGTCGCCTTCAATTGGAACAAACCTGTTGATAAACGTTTTAGTGACTAATAATGGATGATCGAAAAGTAATTAGACAAAATGTTCATTCATTTATTCAACCTTTATAAAGAGCCTAAATTCGGCCAGGATCAGACTTTTAGACTTAGAAGTTATGAGCCGTTCTTTTTAGAGGCATATAAATTAAGCTTGGACGAAATTTAGCTCGTTGAAAAATTACCCAATGCAGAAGCAAAAGTAATTGTAAATACAACGAATGAAAGAGCAAACACTTCTCAAAAGAATGATATATTAATGATTCGTTAATTTTAAGTCATTTGGTAACAGCGAGTATTTAAGTAACAGTCACCGTATTAATTAAGGAAATTTACTCGATTTATATGGAAAACAGTTTCGGAAAGTGAACTCGACCATTCCTGAATGATTGTCTTCAACCTCTTGATTGTTAAATCACTTTGTTGAGAGCCATTTTGTCTTTGATTCTACGCAAAAAAGAGCTAGTTATATAGTGGATGTAATAAAGAACGTCGATTTTCTTCGTCCAAACTTAATACAAATTTTTAACGAATATTCGAAAAGAACACAAAATTCTGACTGTAATTGAATCTACAGACCTCTCGAAAAGGCTGAAAAAATGAAAGAGCGTTTTATCTAATTACTTTTCTATCACGAGTTCGTATGTTTATTGACTGATTCATTTAATTGAACATTCTGTAATTCGAAATAAAAGACTAAAAATTTATTTATTTAGTTTCCGTCCATATCCACCATTAATGTCACCAGTAAATCCAACTCTTCTATGTTCACCGCCTCTTGAAAATTATTCACCAAATTCCAATTGGATTCCTCCATCACCTTCTACTCATCAAACAATGCCAATATTAATGCCAATTAATAATTCTGATCAAATGCAATTACATCATCATCTTAGTGTTAATGTCACTGATCATTATGAATGGTCAACAAATCCAACACATTATTATCCTGGTTATTCAACAACAACAAATTCATCAAATATAGATACAATGTCATTAAATGGAAGTTTAAGTAGTAATACAAGTACAAATGATAGTTCATCTTATCCAATATTAGCACCAATGCCGACAGTTTTTTTTAATCAATATCCTCAACAACCATCAGGTGAACAACAACAACAACAACAACAACACCAATATATTCAACCGACTGTGTTTTTTCCACAACCAATTTCACCAAGATTAATTAATGAACACCTACAACAAAATATGGTGAATGATGTTTCATCGAATAAGTTCGTATTTTTTTCGAAAGTATTCAATGAATTCAGTTCTGATTCAAATATCGTTTTTTTTATAGACTTTTTTCTGGTCAAACTCCATTTGTTATTATGGTACTTATCTTTTCTTTCAAATAAAACTTCATTTTAAATCTTTATTATTTTAAAATAGTCTCCACCACATTCATTAATTGGCCCAGGACAACAACAACCTGTCTCAGGTAAAATAATATTATTATCATCTGTTTGTTTTTTAATCATTAATGAATTTTTCATTAGGCTTTCATCCAATTTCAATGATGCCACGTGTTTGTGTGGATCCAATGAATTGTTCTTCAAACGGTACTAATGTTTATCTTCCTACTGGACAAAATCTAATGTGTACACAACAACAATCAGCACCAAAACTTCCTATTTTTTATTCATCATCACCATCAACACCGTTTACTCAATGGATTCCTACTGCTCCGCCACCACCCCCACCACCATTACCACCACCTTATTTTATGCTATCTAATCACCAACCAGCACAACATTTTCCTTTTCAACAGTTAATTTGAACTGTGTGTATGTGTGATTTTGTTTCTATTTTTTGTTTTTTTGTTTTTTTTTGTTTCAGTTGAAAATTTAACTCTTGTACATTTATTAGATCTATCTATCTATCTATTATTGTTTGTGAACTAGAGACTTATATTTTTTTCCTTGTGGGATTTATTTGTATATATATATTAAAGTGTGTATGTAGTTTGTTTAAGTTGGCTTTTTTTTATAAGCGTATACACTATGTGTACTGAAGAGGACATGAAACTAGAAGAATTAATATATATATATAGATATGTACACATTCATGTAAACTACTTATTTGTTCAAATTTTTAATATAGACAGTTGATATCAACAAGAATATGTGCATTCATGTGAAGAAAATCTTGATTAGTTATGTCCTATGGTTACATAATTGTATTGATGATTGTTTGAAAGAGAGAACATTTTCATATTATATGTCGAAAAACTACGATCGGTTTATTGTATTGTTTTTGTAGAAAGTGTTTGATTTACTGCGAATTTCGAGCATAGACTAACAAGGAAACGTTTTCAACTGATCAATCGGTTTCTTACCAAAAGCCGCTGTGCTGAATTATGGTTTATCAATGGTGCTGCTATTTTTGAATGTGATGATGAGAAATTTCCATAGGTCTTTATATGCTAGTTTTCTAGACACAAATATTTTTCTAAAACCACTTTTGACTTACTCAGATTATAGAGGACATTGAGTTTCCTACAAGACAATAATCTTTTCTGTTTTCCAAAAATGAGTTTAATAGCATGAAGACTTTCATATTAAAATGTTTATATGTATCTATTGTATGAGTTAAAATAGTTATGTTTTCTTGAAATGAAAAGAAACGATTTGAAACAGAAACAGTTACTGTTTTCTACACAATTCAATATGTTTTGTAGTCGAAACATTAAAAAAAAATTTGCCGAAAAAATTGTTCGTTTAATCAAAAAACCAGCATATGAACACCTTAGGGAATTTCTCATAGTTATATTTGAAATCAGCATGGTCGATAGAGGCCGTCAAGTTGGTCCCGAACATTGACTTCATGAATTCCATTGGCCCACATCTGCTATCACGTTTTCACTTGACCAACTTAACAAGTGTTTGAAATAAATTTATTGATGAGATTTGTTTTCTTTCAATTATTTACTACGATGTTTCTTGGCCTTAATTAAATGAAGCTTTTTACTTTTACTAAAACAATTTAAATACATAGTTATTTGATGACATTTATTCGATAAAAATGTGAATCAGATTTATAATAATGCTTTCTCGTTGATGAGAATGATTTAACAACATTTTCGAAAAGTCAAATGTCGAATTCCACATATTTATGGTCAGTTGAAACAAAAACTAAACTTTTCGTTTGCTTGATTCATGTTGATTAACTAATCATACGTGCACACCTTAGTCATTATTCTATGGAACAATGACATAACACTTGGTAGAATATTGTTAAAAAAACATACTGATTTATTTAGAGTATCGATATTGAATATTTTGATTAGCTTTGTCTCTTCCAGAGATGCCGACTGGGTTAGATTGGTATAGTTATCCATTGGATTGAACTGTGTTCATGGGTTAACCCTGATCAAAACCAGTGGGTTAGACAGACCTTTTGAGTAATTTCAACTCTGTCCCATCCATAAAAATTTTAAGGTAGATTTTGTCAGTTAGCCCAAAGATCACTCTTGGATTAACCCATGAAATAATCTATGTTTTTCTTAGAAATTGGTTACAAAAATGTTTGTTGAATGAAGATGTCACCACGATACAGTCTATACTATATAATCAATCAACTCATCTATATTTATTGCTTGGTTGAATGATCAAGCGTGACATACATAAAGTAGATTTCATCATTTTTTTCTCTTTTTCGTCTCTCTTCTTCTGTTTTCTCCACAACCGAAATAAATATTTCAATTAATGTCACCCAACTGAAACCTATAAATCTGTCGTTTTTGAAATATTGAGAAAAACTAAACCATATTTGACCTTTTTATCAATTTATTTTCGTTATCAATACTTATTTACAACTGAACTTGATATTCAATGACTATCAAATAGACATTGGTTTTTACTTTATTTTTATTGATAAACTCATTCACTAAGATGAAAAATAATTTCGTTTGTTTCAAAGAAAATGAATTTTATTGATCGCTACTGCCCTCCACTAAGGGTATCAAATTTGTACATGTTCGAACCTGAGTTTATAACTATTATCGTTAAATATTTTGTCAAATCCATTCAATTATGACTTCGATGAAACAAATCAAGCCTTAGTTTAATGATAAATTGTTCGTAGAAATTAGCAACATGTTGTAAAATGCTGAAAACATTATCTTGATCCATTTAGCCGAGCATTACAATTTTCGCTTACATTAACTTTTTCTTCTATAATTTGTAGAGGTTGTTCAGAATGTTTTTAATCTGCGGCAGTACTAGTTTCATAAAAGGCTTGTAAATGTTTTTAATCCAGTTTATTTCTAATCGTTTGTTTGTTCAATGTGATGAACAATTTTGGTTTTATAACTGCGTGTGACTCGAATAATAACGATAATTAAATTATTCTTATCCGTATGTTTATAGACATCAGTATGCGAGGAGAAATGTGTTCAATACGAGTGCAAAAACTACTATCATTTTATAAAAATTTATAGAAATCGCTTCAGCTGTGTAAGAGAAATCTGTTTACTTTTCCAAGAAAATTTTAGGAAAATCTCTATATTTTATTACTTAGGCGAACTAAAGTTTTTATTTATATCAATATATAGTAGAAAACTGAGAGTCACAATAACCAAGGTTACCCAGTGACCAGGGTGGATCCACTAAACACAACCCAATAATCCATGGGTTGACCCAAACGCGATGTCCGGCATCTCTGCTCTGTTCTCTTTTGTTATTTTTCTCATAACATTATGACAACAGAAGAAAATATGATGAGTGTTAATGTTTGATAGATCAACGTCGATTAAAGATGAAAATCGTGAAGTCGAATCTTTTCTTATTTCTAATTTTATTCAAAAAATATTCTCATGTAACCTTCTCATAATCAACAAAGCGTAAGAATAGCCATATAATGAATGGTTGATCGATTATACATATTTTATGTGGGAGTTAATGGATACCGCAGACAGTCTAAATAATTTGAATATTGTAAATCATTATCGAAATAATCTTGACATTGTTATTCACTTTTATGCAAGAACATTAAATATTTATGAATCATCATTTTAGTCCAATCACGAAATTCTTATAACCACGTGGAAATTTTGATGTTGCACGAGTTTTGAAACTATCAGTCAAACTTAATATTGATCAATACATTTTTCCAGTTTAACTAACGTCTTTTGGCAGAATGTAACATTCGTCGGAACAAACATAAAAGTGTCTTTATAAAGTTATTATTTTCGAATACATAAACTTGATTGTTCTGCTGCACAAATAAAACATGCTACTTTGTAGGAATATGAAAAAAAGTTGTTTTGGGATTTTTGAAGTAATGCGTCATTCCTGATGAATTTTACTCATATTAGAAGAAACAAAACCACTAAAGAAAATTGTTCGATAGGTAACAATTGGATAAAGTGGGAAAGCTTGTCTTTACCTTGCTATTCTTATATACCATTGACTCATAACTCACATGTATCTTATTCATTTTCAAAAGGTTTTACAGCCAAAGGTAAGTTTTTTCTCTCCTTTTCTTTATGTTCTTCATTTTATAATGTTATTAGGAAGCAAAAAACAACATTTATTTTGGTTGCTCATGTTCGCGACACAAAATATTTTTTACTATTAACAAAACTATTTGTGTTTTTCATTCAAGACGACAAAATTTCAACAATACGTTTTAATGTCACTTAGACTGATTTCATCATTAGAAACTTTACCCGTTGAAACTCTTCATCATATTCTCGATGATCTAGATATACAAACCATATTATTTTCGTTTCGTAATACCTGTCGACGATTTAGAGCAATTGCTAACAATTATGATCGATATAGTCTCAATTTTGAATCAATTTCAAAATATGATTTCGAACGTGTTTGTCGTTTAGTCAATCCTCGTCATGTCACATCACTTACGCTCTGTGAAAATGAAGAAACACTCGATCAAATTAAATTATTTCTTTCATATTTCAGTCTTCGACAATTTAATTGTTTACGTTCATTGTCTCTTTTAATAACTGGAGAAGAAAAATTGAAAGCCATTGCAGGACAATTGAGCATTCGTTTACTTCAATCATTCTCACTTAAAATTGAAAAATCTGATGATCGACGTAAAAATACAACAGCACGATTTTTATCATCAATTATCGCAAAATCAAATCTTTCAAAGCTCGAACTCGATATTCAAGCAGGTCGATTAGAAAAAATAGTTTGGCCAGCTCAATATTCAATTCAATGTCTGAGAATTACTAGCATTATTGCCTTTGATCAACTTTGTACTATTTTCAGTTGTTCACCCCATTTGAGAACACTAATGATAGAATCTTTTTTTTTTCAAAATGCTAATCAAAGTCTCTTGACATCTTCACTTACGACACCTTTTCAACAATTAACTTCATTAACATTCGAGAAATTGGACATACAAATCGACAATCTTGAATTGTTTCTTTCATTAACATCTTCGCTGGTTCATTTGAAAGTGATTGGTTATGGAAATTATCACGATGGCAATCGATGGGAATATTTCATTCAATTACATTTACCTTTATTGAGTGAATTTAGATTTTTCTTTAGTCAAATGCAATGTGTTCAGCAGAATGCTGAAAATATTAAATTAATTATAGCACCATTTCAAACACCGTTTTGGCTAGAAGATAAAAGATGGTATGTTACATGTGAAGCTGATATTAATACATCAGGATTCATTACATTGTATTCCATACCAATTTGTGTACCTGTTTTCTCCTACGAAACAAAGAAAGTTTCAATTTCGACATATTCCCAAATAAATGATAAGAATATATCTATAATGGACAACGTACGTACAGTTAGATTAAACTTCACAAAATTAATGCCTCTGAATATGGAAAAAAAGGTAAATAAGATTTGTCATGCGAGTTTTCTTCTAACATGGATCGTTTTAAAGAGAAATGGCAAACATGCTTTTCATTGAACAGAAAATCTTTTGGAAAGAAGTTTTTATGTCAAATCAACATTTTCGCCTAAATAAAGATATAGCACATATTGACTTCATTTGCTTGAGATTATTCATTGTCTTGAATTAAAACATCAACATTGTTTCATGTTGTATATTTTTAGGAGAACAAAAAAAATTATCCATTGTTTCGCAAAGTAAAAACACTTGAACTTGAATTTGTTACAACTCGACCTCATGATTGGATTGAATTTATTTCTAATCTTATTGATCTAACGACTGTTGTTGAAGTCAAAATTTCAAGCACACTAATTCGAAAATCTGATCTTTATATGTTAAATGATATAGCTAATCTTCTTAAGAAAACATGTTGTATTTCTTCAGTCGATATTTGTTCTGGTTTCTTTAGTAGAAAATCCAGTTTAACTGCTACAGAAATCTGTTCATTGTTACCGACACATGTTAAACAATTGGCGGTATCAGTAAAAAATGTAAATGAAATTAAAAGTGTTCTCGAACGATTTCAACACTTATCAAGTGTTAAATTCTACTTTGATTACACACCATACTGGAATGAAGTTACTAAATGGTTAGATGACAAAAGAAAAGGTTCATCTTATCAGGCAGATTCTTTTTCTATATACATTTGGCTTGGAAATAATACGATCCAGTTGAAAGAAGTAAACGTTGGTAATAAACGAGTCAAACTAAGCTAGCAAACATTATTAATGATATAATATCTCTCATATTCGTTATCACTCGAAATGATCATCAGACATTCATGTGAATTTATTTTTCTTTTTATAGCCATTCCGCAGGATAATTAAATCCAGGAGAAGATCAATTGATTTTTGGTTATAAAATCCGGAACATTTTATAAAAATGCTATTTTGTGGATTTTGAATTATTGTCATTATTATTAATAACTATTGTTATGTCAATTAACGACTATTTTTCCAATATTATACTTATTTTTTCAGTGATATGAAACGAAGTTATTTCCCTAAGAGCAGATATGTTAACTGAACTATGTATTCATAATCCATCCTCAGAGATATACATAGGTTAGTCAATAAGTTCTCGGACTTTCAAATATTTATTCATAGAAAAAACATTTTACTAATCTTTTTACAGTAAATGTTCAAAGTAGTCCCCACAATGTTCAGTACAAAGTTTCATCCTTTTAATCCACTCCTGGAATGTCTTTCGGTATTCTTGAATAGATATTAAATTAAGCTCGTTGGTTATTGCTTTAGCTAAACTTGTAGCANAAAAAGTAAATCAAATGAAATCTGTCTTTTAAGACTGAAAAATCAGATTCCTATCAGATTATGATAGTGCCATTATATAATCGATTTTTAATTTTTTCTTATAACTTATTTTTTTTATATTGGTAATGAAAATGTAACTATGAATTTTTAAATAATAAAATTATTTTATTTATTTAGATTTGGTGCACCTAGGAGTGGAACAAGTCCATCTTATCTGCATAAAGTTTGTAAATTTTGGTACGAAGGCCGCCTAAATCCAAGCATGCCTTTCGATCAATTATATGAAGTTTTATTCGCTCTCTCTGGCACTGGTACTGTATTTATCAAATGTTAAAGGAGAAATTGTAAGGTTAGGAGGATTTGATAAAAAGATGCTCAGTTTTCACCAAACCCTACGAAAACTAACTACTTCTCTTTTTGGATTTGGTACATAAATTACCATTATCAGATAGAACGAATGAAAGTTGTTGTAATTGACAGAAATATTTGATTGGATTTGGGGAGTTTTCACGCTGAAAATTGACAATCTTTGTGCAGACAAAAGGGATTTGTTGCACCGCTGGGGGCACCCTCAAAATAAGTAATAAAAATCATGCGTAAAGAGGCGGGGGGGGGGTCAGATGAAAGAGAGAGGCTGAGTGGGTATAGATTAAGAGTCAGTGGTCAACGGTGGGTAACTTTCGATTGACCGTGGTTACTATCGATTAACCACCGGTTGATTGCGGTGGACCGCGGTTAACCGACGGTTTTTTACTGGTTCGAGTGACATTGGATCGCACATCATAAACAAGACTAACGACGCAAGTGAACATGCTAAAGAAGAGATGATTGATTGAAAGCATTAAAAAAATCAAAGCAAATGCATCGAATCAGCATCTGTTTTATGTGACATCTTCTGCTGAAGGACTATTTGACCAAAATTATTCTCGCCAATAGTCAAACTCGATCAGTTCATACATTTACGAGATCTTCATCATTCCTATATGAGTCCGTGAGCAGTTCTTCACAAATAATCAATGTCATTGTCATCTGAATTTAAATATAAATATAAGCCAACCATGCGATCATAAGAAACTGGATCCATATCATATTTCTACCCAAGTCAGTGACCTTGCTTCAAATTAAGTACCTTAATGAACAATTACTCGTCAAACCCGTGAAAAATTCGCAATTGCAAAACGATAACAAATAAACTATCGGTAAAGCGAAAATGAAAAACTTGTGGTGTAACTTTTGTATTTGCAAAATTTATAAATACAGAACGGAATCAAAGTATGTCATTGAGCAAAGCCTTTAACAATTCTTATGAATGAACAGAATATCTCGATTTAATAATGGCAACAAATAATGTAATGGACGTTTATCACTTTAACATATAGTAGTTATTTAATACTAGATTGAACACATTTCTATGTATTCAAAGTCATTGAAGTGCGAAACATCAAAACAGGAAAACAAAAGTAGATTTTTCTTTAAACAGAAAAATACTAGAAATTAGCAGTGCGTTATAACCCAATCACTGCATCACTATTATCAAGGATAGAAGTTCTGAAAATAATTGTTTCTAAACCATAACCAACATTATTCGATAAATATCATTGATTTGGTTAATATTTTTGGACCTGCTAGTCGATCATATGCGTTAAACAATAAAAATATCAAAATGACACGTGAAGACCTATTTTGTGAAATACGATCTAAAAGTAGTGTTGAAGTATAAAGATGAAAATTCGCTCCTCCCTATCCTCACAGACATGACAGGCATCATTAGCAACGCCTCTTCTTCATCACAGACTTGACGAACGTTCACGATATACAAATACCGACCCCCCATATCCATAGTATCTCATTATAATGTATGAACTACTTTCTGATTGCATTTCTGCAGAGTTAAATAAAAGGATAGTGAAGGAACGTGTCACAAAATATATAGAATAAAACAGTTTCACTGTGATTATCAACAGCAAATGCATCTTATTTCATCTTTCAGTTGTTCAAAAAATGCTCTAAAATTTGTTCTGGTTAGAAGCGCAATACAATAGCAGTTAAAGATACATAATTCCAGTTATCTATTAATAATATAACATAATGTAAAATAATACCCTTTCTACTTTGTCTTATGATGGAAACATGATAAGAGATCACCAGAATGTGCAACACAATCTTTCATTCAGCTCATCAAACATTCTCAACAATATTCATCGAAGAACATAAAGAATTTAAAACCATTGAATTCGCTTTATGCATATTGCAACATGATTATGTTATGAACTATGATCTAGTAGTTTTCGATTGATCAAATTTTTTCATGCAAAGCTTTCGAAATAGTGTCATCAAATACACCAGTTGCAGATTATAAAAACAAAAATCGTTTGTTTTATATTGGCATTACTCTATTTAATAAGATAAAATCATTGCTCTATTTTCATATTCACGAGTGCACGTATACGGTTTAACTTTTTAAGTCAATGCTGAGTTCTATTATGTGAAGGACTATACAGTTATGAATTATATGTTTTTCTATTCTTCTCATATGTTGGAGAGTGACTTCTGTCTTGAAGAAAAAGACTATTGGGGATGATATGTATAATTGTAAACAGTGTATGAAGACATATTGATGAGAAAGATCTTAAATACAAATAAGATTAGTTAAGAAGCTTCAGATTAATCGTTTTATCTCGTACTAAAATAAGACAAAAATGAAGTAATGTGCAATTACTTTTTAGCAACACTTTTGTGACCTGATATCCATCTTTATAAAAAGACACATGTAACCATGCGATAAATCACGTGTACGTACATGAATCTTTATAATATGACACACATTATGGTAGGTCCTCATCTGTCGGCAATATTATCGCTTTCGAGAACATACAAATGTTTTTTGTAGAAAACTGACATGTTAACAATTAAACGAATCTTTGCATACGCATATGAAAGAAAACTCTAGAGTGAACAAAAAACAAAAAGTAATTCTGGTAAACAAACTTGAACATGCAAAGGTCTCCTTTCCAGGCATAAGATTCTATCTTATATATTTTCGTTTGGAAGAAAAAAAGCTTCTTCGTCACTTGACATTCACATATATGAGAGTTGTGTTCAAAACATGCCAGGCATAATAGTCGTTCAATAACTTTCAGACACGTATGTACATTCATATTAATAATTATTAAAGACTCTGAAAAAATATACATGTTTTTTTATGACAATACGATGTGCTTATAGAAGAGTAAGTTCAGTTTTAAAAGAAATAAAGAAAAATATGACGCAGTAGAAATTAAATTCTTCCATGAGCTAACATTTATACTACAAAAGAATGAAATTTTTACATCTGAATGCGGAAACACCTCAGTAATAATTTTTCATAAATACGACATTGATGCATTGACATGCAGGATTTCATAAAGTTCTAGACATCTTGTAGATATATGTAAGTGACATTCAGATATTTCAACAAGATCCTTATTCTTTGTATAAAGGCAGAAGAACAATGTGTTTAGATATCTGTAAGGACAAGAGGCAGATATGATCTCTCATGTTGTTCTGAAAAAATTGTGTTTCCATGCGTTTGTTAAAGACGTGCATCTCTATATATGTATTGATGTGCAAACGTTTCAAATAGTTCAAAAGAGTTGCATAATCGCATATGAGAAAAAATTATTTAAAAAATACTTTACAAGTAAACATAGATTTCTAAACGGATTTCTGCATATAAATGCGTTTAATAAGATTTCATGTTTCAATGAACGTCCAATAGTCCTATTTGTACCCGTACAGTATAATTTTATGTAAGATTATTCACGCAAAACACTAACTCCTGTTATTGAACAATAACATATTAAAAATCTGTAATGAATTACGTGGAAAGAAAGGCATCCTCAATCTTATCAAAAAGAAGAAGTATTATATAGTATGGTAGGTAAGAAAAAAAAAGAATTGAAATAACGTTAAACAAATTTTAGCCCAGATTTATCTATTCAGCTGTAAAACCTTCATGTTATGCGATGCGTTTTATTTAAGATCACCTAGTAAGTATTAAAAAACCGTTAACTGTCATCTATCAAAGGAAAGCTATATGACACGACTGATATATATGGTACGGAACTGGAAGAAAAAAAGGCAATCAAGCATAGACTTTTTTCTTCATATAATTATCTTATGTGCCGTTAGTTTTTCTTTCCTTTCCTTGTCAATGAAGTGTCATTTTAATAATTGTCAAACGAGGGACTCCAAAATAAATAAAAAGATGGAAGGAGATTAAAAGAAAAGTTGGATAGAAAAAAAAATATTTTCCTCATTTTAAATGATAGTCGTCATTGGTTCCTTTTCTTCATTCTTTGCAGCTCTACAATGAAATAATATTTTTTAAGAACACATCTAAGATGAAGCTAGATTGCCATAAGGCCTATTCCTAGGGTTTCTCGCCTTTAGCAACTCCTAGATTTGCACTCGTTTCTTTTTTCTCTACTATATTATGATAGCTGATAGGTATTGGTGCTGACTTAATAAACTACTTTCTACTTTTTTTTTCTAAATGTTAGATTAGTCGAATAGACTAAATAAATTCTGTTGTTATAATAGATTATGGGAGTAACAGAACAACTGTTTAGATTATTAGAAAAAAGAATGTTTACTTCATGCACACAACACTTTCATCTGCATAAAATATATTTTTAGTCACAAATATGTGAGTATAATATGACGTACGTAATTTTATTCTTGGATTCTTATTGTATCTGAATGAAAAGAAGAAGAAGAAGAAGAAGAAAACTTTGTAGTTTTTATTCCACTTCGTAATTTCGTTACTCTTTTTCTCTGAATTATCCACAAGACAAAAACAACCAGATTATTCTCGTCTAAATTGTCATCAGATTTGAGAAGTTTCGGAACATTTTGACCAGATAGCTCACGACGTATTGAATTATTTTAATAATTCATTATACATATACAACTTTTTATAGGAACACTTACTCATTGTAAACTTTATTTATGTGAAGTAATTTGAGTAGTTCTTTTATACACTGTAGATATTGCACAGACACTTTAAAAAAAAACATAAACTATGAATCATGCAACAAAATTCAATTAATTATAGCAAAGACAATATATTTGTTGTTCAATGCAAGAAGTAAGTAGTATCTATCGAATCATAATAAGTATAAAAATTTGATGTTTCATTTTATGAATCTCAGATAATTTATACTACATTTGAGATTTATTTTAGATTTAAAATTAAATACTTTTTTACTCGTTGACATGTCAAATACGGCTCGAAATCTATCCTATCCAACGTACAATAGCGCGAAAAAGTCTTCTAAGACGAAACAATCGTTTCAAAATACTTATAAAGCTATTGATCATGAAAGCATCATCAATTCTCTCACTGGTTATGACAATGATCTTGGGGAAAGATTGGAACGATTGGAACGTGAAGCTGGTATGCGAGCACAACAAATTGAATTGAGTGAATGTCTCGAATGTGTTGCTCAACTTGTTGATTTATTTAAACGTACTATTATTACCTCTGAACTTCAAAATCAAAATGACTGGCAATGTGATACCCAGCATCATCTACAACAAAATAAGGGTATCACTGGCAATAGACTTCTTGATGATAAAGTCGAGAAAATTGTTATTAACAAAGGTTTAACCAAAGAACAATGGACTTGTCTTCTCTATATGGCATTAAGTACTGATGATACGGTAGAATTAACTAAAGTTAGCAAGAAACATTTGCAAAAAGTACATGATACAGCATTACGTCTTCTTGATGCTGATGAACAGAATGCAATATTTGCGCTGATCAATGCTATCGAAAAATATATATCGAAAAATTATTTCATTGAAAAATAATAATTTTACCATGGTTTAAAATTCTACAAAACATTCTATGATATTGTCAATAATATTGTATATTTGTCTACATTTTGTGATGTAACTTTATATCACGTTCATGTTTATTGAACGATCATCTTTGTTACATTCTTGAAAATTTTTCATTAATTTAATAAAGACTATCTCTTATATGTCAATGAAATATTAATTCGAGAATATTTTTAAAATATTCCTGTATCTGCGAATGTGCTTGGAAGTTTTTGATGGCAAAATTAAGCTACATCATAACTGTAAATAATTGTAATTTATAGACGAGTTTTGATTTATTGTTGATAAATTTTAATGATTATTAAATGTTTTAGGGATAAGTCTTTGCATAAAGTTTTCGTTTGAAATCAATCGAGAAAAATTTCGTGAATAATGAGTTCTCTTTGAACTTTCTATTTGATATCATGTTCTACTATTCTCATATTAATCCTTGATTCTATTTATAATTGTCATGCAGAGAAAAAAAGGAATCTATTGTAAGTTACCTTCAGTTACAAATATACCTTTATAAGATAATTACTTGTCAATAAACATAATAGAAATATTACAACGTATTTATCGATTACATAAATTGATTTATAATAACAATCTTGAAAAGAGTTTCTTTTTTAAATAGAAAATATAATAAATAAGAATCAAAAGAATAGATTATCTGAAAAAACAGCAAAATATCTGCACAATATTTGATGTTTTCCATCAAAACACTACTTGTAATCTTGATGTTTTGTTATAATCTTTTTATTTATTCTATAGCTGCTATGATAATTTTGTGTTGCTTATCTTATCAGATAATTAGTTTTAGTGGATGGAATGCCGATAGAAAAGCAGATGATCTGATGCGATTTACCATAAATTAATTATCTAAAGATTACATGGGGATTTAAAAAACAAAGTATTCATATTACCGAATACCTAGAAAAAGAGTTGTTTATAGAACTCCAAGCAAAATATTTAATAAAAGTCATAACATCGATGAATAAGTAGTGACTCTGATAGCTATTAATTCTTCTTATAGATTACTATTTATATTTTACTAATAATCATGGCTTTAACTTTCATTGATTCAATTGTCATATTTTTCTTGTTGCGATGGCGACATAACATAGAATACTTCATTGTTGTACAGTTAAAATTTTTTTGCGAAAGACAAAACAAACCTATTTTGATATTCGCTCGTTTTGATTTAGTTCTATTTTGCCGCATTCAATTGATAATGAACTTCATATTTTTCCTCTTTCATTTAGATTCTATTGAATAGTCTTAAAATTTCTATTTGACATCATAATAACATAAAATATATTTTGATAAAAAGAAAAAAAGCGAAAATTTGTTTACGCATTCTGTATTTATCATTTTTTTCACAATAAAACTCTCTTTCAGGTTAATTAATTAAGCATTCTCTCATACTTGATTATCTCAATTGAATTCCATTATATTGTGAGAATATCCAGGCAAATAAATGCACAGATGAATTTCGTATGTTTTATAAAAGAAGGAGAACTATTATTTGATGCGATGAATAAGAAATAAAAATGTCTATAAATAGCTATCTGAACAAAGCTTAGATGAGATTTATTTAGTCAGGTCATTTATCATTTTGTCTAATAAATCTTTAATTGAGATAACGAACTACGTAAAGAAAAAAAACATTCAACTCTCGTGTCCCCATGGACTGTCATATTACCAGATTCAAGGAAGGTTTTTCTAAAAGAAATAAAAGAAGTAGAAGAAGAAGTTCATACTTGAAAATTTTCTCATATCATCATTCAAACATTCGATGCACAAACCTTTCTTACTATTTCGTCAAAATAGCGTTCATTTGATAGCTGTCAAGAGAAAAACTTCAAAATTGTAAGAAGAAATAAGATGAATAAACTGAAGAATTGGAAAATAAATTTCTTTTTTGCAAAAGATAATTCTTACCGGATCATTCTCGTTTTTCTTTGGCTTACAACAAACAAAATTCTTCCCAGAGAAAAACATCTGACTTAAGGTTAAATCGATCTGAAACTCGTGTGTGGTTTTTACTTGCATAAAACTCACTCATGACTTTTGTCTCATTTTGTCTACTCTGTTGCAATGGTTAGACGCGGATTTTAATTTTTTTTATTCGAGTGATAAAAATGCTGACAGCTTGAAGAAAGTTTCCGACATGTACTGACACTATCTTCGATTGAATATATATTTTTATCAATGAACATATGCTTAAAAAGAAATAAAAGGATTCAAAAGTGTCAACCCCTCTGAGTAAATCAATGATATATGTAATTTTGAAAGAGAACAATTAGAGCTATCATTTGAAAAACAAAACTTCACTAATGTGTAAATGTAGTACAATGATATCATCATCTTTCTAATCTTGAGTCAGTGAATATTTTCATGTTACGTTTTTTGAGAAAAAATTTTAAAAATATTTTTTTTTCAACGGAAAACCTAAATGGTTTATAAGTTTGTCAGACGGACGTTTTCTATAAATATCAATAATCAAATTTCGTGATGTGTTGACCTTGTTTTTGGAAAATTTCTTTTAATGTTTTTGGAATAGTATTAATGATTTTGTCAGATTTTTCCATATATCAATAACGTTTTGTTTAGCATTTTTCAGATTTACTTAAGGCTTGTTGAATGATATCCCACACGTTTTCTATTGGCCATATATCATCTGTTTTGTTCCGACAAGAATAATCCTGAGTCTTTTTTTTAAGTAGAACTGTTAGCAAAATAAATTCAAGTAGCTGCTGATACATTAGAGGACAAACTTCAAACAGTAAACTTCGTGGAAAACTTCAACAATATGAATAGTTTTATAATGTCACAATAGTCATTAGCAAATATGACGAATGCAAAAAACATGCAATTCTTATTTTTAAAAAAAATATTTATTTATTTATTACAATAATCAAAGATGAAAATATTCAATCAAGATTCATAAAATAACTATAACATTGTGCTGGATCTATGGATTTCGAAGTCTCTTGTTTTGAAACGATAGTTCTAACTGTTTTCTATAAAACGGTGTATTTCGATGCATTAATTATATATAAGTTTGTCATAGATAATATCAACTTGTCGAGGGGGATCAACACTTTTGAATCATCCTTTAGTACTGACGATTAGGCTTACGTTCTTATTATATCTGTTCTAGCGAAAGAGCGAGAGAGAAGAAGGGAGAAAGAATATTTTTGTCTGTCAGCTACTTTGCGGAATGGAGTGCTGTCTAACTGCAAGTTCAATAGCTCAATATCTTTCCTACAGCTCTGGATATAAGATCGGCCTGACACCAAATTCTTGCGCTAATTCTTTTTGATCTCTTCATATACACTAAACAACCAACCACATAGTAGTCACTAGAGGAAGTGTATGTCACAATATAGTTAGTATCCTGTCGCACGAGTAATCCAAGATAAACAGTCGTTAGTGTCTTATTCATGGCCATTTCACAGCTAATGATACTAACAATGGAATGGCGTGTACTGTTGAGCAAAACGATTGACCATGTTCGAGTCAAATAATCATTTTCATCAAGAAACTAAAAAATTTAAAATATGAGCTGCTGATGACGTATCTGGACAGAGATATTCAATTTTTAAGTTATGCATTATTTGGATATAGAAACATGATAATGTATGAACTATTCACATCAACTTTTCAGTATAATCATCAGATTTTTTAGGAAGCTAGTTTCCAAAATCTTGACAATATTTAGACCTCTCTAGATACGACTTTCTCTGTAGTTTAATAGTACCGAATAGGAGATATGTCTTTTTTTATATATAGAAATCCGTCATTTATCAATGCTTTCAACTTTATTTAACGTGAAATTAATAAATTGTACAAATAATATTTCAAAAGATGTACTATAAATGGAGATGAAGATCTTCAATTAAATGATAATAACAAAGGGTGTGGGTGTGGAAATAGACGTTCCCTTGGACTACATCCATATCCTTCCATTGTAAGCTACAATGTATTGAAAATTATGTATATTTGGCACTGATTTAAAGTATAGAATAATACTCATTCTGTTTGTATGACGTGTAAAAGATAGTAAACAAACAATCATATCTAATGTATCCTCGTGCAAACAAGTCTCATATGTTAAACCAATCTCTTCAATCTTCTAATGCAAATAGTAGCAATGAAGCAATTATAAATGCTACCAATAGTTATGAAAGAAATTTTGGAGATCTATTAGAAGAAATTGAGAAAGAAGCTGACATATAAACTCCGCAGATGGAATTCAAACAATGCTGTACATCTGTTGCTTAACTTCCTGACTTATTTAAGCATACTATTATTAGATTTCAAATTTAATACCAAAATTGGTGATATAAAAATGCTCGGTAGCAATTAAAGAATAACAACTCTAACAATGATTCAACTAAAGACAGTAAAATTACGTACTCTTTTTATCTTTCATCATGGATGATAGGACACAAATAATTAAAACTAGTAAGAAGCATCTCTAAAAAGCGAATGGTATGATCATCAACTCTACTCACAAGTGATCAAGAATCTTTTGCATTTTCTTTCATCATTGCTATTAAGAAACATGACCAAAAAAGTACTTTATTGAGCAATAGAAACTTTATCATATTATAAGACCCGCGAAACATTCTTTTTATGAAATATAATCTAAAAGGAGTGTTGAAGTATTCAGGTAGAGATCTTGGCTCCCTCTTCACAGACCGTGAGAGACTTTTTAGCAACATCTTTGTTCATTATACAGCTTGTAGCAGACTTAACCGTGACAAGTGAAGTCTTCTTTGAAAAATATCTTTCATCAAGGACATATCAGTGCGTTGAAAGTTTCAAGCTGAAGTATATGTTGCACAATTCATTCATTTACAATATATACAGATCAATTATGTTTCCATTTTAATCTCAAAGGAGTTACGCGAACAGTTTTTATTCTTTGTAGACATAGTCATTTATAAGATTTGGTATTGTGATTATGATATATTACAAAT